AGGACAAAAAAAGCTCATAAAGGCTAAGAAAGGAAGAAGGGAAGTAAAAAACACAAAGAGGAAATGAGTTAACTGATGCTACATTATGGGAATGCATCAATGACATGAAACAAAATGTGTTCACAATGTTGAGTAGAAAGAAAACTGATGTACCCAAGTCACAATAAAAAGTTTTGTTGATGTTCTAGCAAACCACAGTATATCAATTTTCTTCACTAACAATTCAAATTCATCAACTTTTCTAAGGTATAGCTTACACATGCAGATGAGGCAAATGAAAAGCACTATGGCCTAGGTCAGCGGCAACTTAGCCCTCAAGAGACATTTTTGTTCCAGGATTGAAAATCTAGTTTATCTTACAGAGATCACGACCATATTGTCTGAGCAAGAAACAGATTGATGGCACATTGCAGATTATAGTCACAGAAAAGTTAGGGTGGTTATCTCTAACTGGCAGGTCACCTTTAATAAAAGTATACTCAGAATTATGTTATTGTCACGATATTGCTGATGTGCAATCACACTAACAACTAATAACTCAATATAGACGATTTAAATGTCAAGAACTGCTTATTACTGAAACTCCAGTATACTGCTGGTGAGAATACAAAATAGTACAGTTGCTTTAGGAAACACTCAGAGGAGTGAGTTTCTCATGAAATTATACAATCACTTGCCATTGACCCAACAATCCCAATCCAAGGGCTTTTCCCAACAGAAATAAAAACTGTAATTTGCAAAAGAGATGTACTTAAATGTTTATGGCAGCTTTTTTCATAATCTCCAAACATTGGTATTATTTCATTGTGCCCTTAAAAGATACGTTTAAATCCTAACCTCTGTATCTGTGGATATGACCATTTTTGGGAAATCAGGCTATTCTTTTGTAAATTAGGTCATACTGGAGTAGCCTATTGCCATGAACTTGATTGCTACTCTTGGGGTGCCAATATAGGATTTCCATGGCTGCAAGCCTTTACAAGTGCATATAACCTCAACTTTCTTCCAAGGTGCAGCTGATGGGTTTGAACCACTGATCTTGAAGTTAGAACCACTGATCTTGAGGTTAGAAGTCCAATTGCGACCAGGGCTCCTTTACTGGAGAAGGATGGGTGCTAAAGTTAATCCCATCTGAGCATTGTTTTGTTTTGTTTTTTAAAGGAAGCAGACACAAGAGGAAACATACACAGGAAAGACAGACAGGAGCAGATGGCTCTACAAGTCCAGGAAGGCCACGAACTGCCAATTACTTTGCTAGTAGCTAAAATGAGAAAGAGATCAAAGGACTTTCCCCTAGAGACAAAAGCAAATAAAAACAAATCCACTGGCCTTATGCCAATTCCAATTTACAGAAACTCTAAAAATCAGAATAATGCTGCCCCATCGGGTTTCTAAGATTGTAAATCTTGATGCAAGCGGACTGCCACATCTTTCTCCCACAGAGCAGCTGGTGGAGCACACGCCCTGAATTGAGACTTTAGGCCTCTTCCAGAACTGTGATAAAATAAAACCCTGTTCATTAATGCTGCCCACATCTGCTAGTTTATATAACAGCACTAGAAAATTATGACGCTGGAAACAAGTGCTTCCACTGGTGAATGGATAAACATGCTGAGGTACATCCGTACACTGAACTACTACTACTCAGCAATGAAAAGAAATTATTGGCGCACACTACATACATCCTGAATGACTCTCAACTGCACTATGCTAAGTCAAAGCAGTCCAACTCAAAAAGTTACCAAAAGCAAAAAAAACTCGGGGGCCATCGAGGCAATGCTGACTCCCGGCAACCTCCTCTGGGTTTCCCAGACTGTATTTGTTTACAGGAAACAAAAGCCCAGTCTTTCTCTCAAGGATCTGCTGATGGTTTCGATCTGCCACCCATGTGAATTGCAGCCCAACACATAACCACTACACCATCAGGGCTTCCAGAAGATTTCATTGAGAAGACATTCTGGAAGAGACAAAATCATAGAACAGGAAACATCACACAAGAGGACAGAAGCTGAGGACTTGAGGGTGATGGCACTATTCGACATCTCGATGGTGAACGGGCGGGAACTGGACTACATGTGAACTTTGTAAACTGAAAACATTACTTACCGACTCTGTTAAATATTCTATAAGAAAACTGAAATGCTGGCAAGGAATGCTTCCTCGTTTTTTGTTTTTTTCTTCAGATTAGGCCATAAATGCATTTAATTAAAACTTCTGCCACTTAAAAATTTTTTCTAGAATATATGTCTCCATTTTCACGTCTGAGTAAATGAGCTGCAAGCATTTATTATAAGATTTAAATTGAAACAAGTTTATTTATTTAAAATTTGTTTGACAAATATGACAAGACAAACAAGATCAGTGAGCACTACACCTCAAAAGTTATTTAAGCAATGTTCTTCTATGTTAAGTACATCCTAATGCTTAAAAAAAATTAGTTATTCCATTCATTCAGTCAATAACTACCACTGGAGGCCAATTACGTACCTAAAAGAGAAAATACAAATGTCAAACAAGACAATCCTTGTCTCTGTCATTATATAGGTTAAACAAGCAATAAATAAATAAAGTATGATATGTACAATAAATCTCATTGTTTGGGGAATGCATAGCCAGTGTACATAATCAAACCATATGGATTCTGAATCTTATATTTGCTGTGCTGAAGAACTAAAGTGTAACTATCTATAAAGCTCACGCGTTCCCATTGTAATCTATACCTTAAAGAGCTTGGTGTCTTGTTGAACTCAAAATGACAGCTTAAATCCATGCACCACCAGTACTCAACAAGCAGCTGCCCCCATTAACCTCCAGTATTTGATGATGGAAAGACAGTAAGAAGGCTGAATGCATATACTATCCTGACACAAGCCATACAATAGTCACTCTCCTATCACAAATTCCTCTTGAAAATATTTCTGTCATTTTTAAAACAAGCAGGAAAATTCTCCAATACACAATACCATGATTATAAATTTCATTTCTTTTTTAAGATGGGGGTGGGAAGAGAGAAAAACATGAACGAATAGTAAGAAATAAAGCAAATCAAAGACTAGAAACTCATCTTCCAGAATAAAAATAAAGATTTTTTCAATTAAGTCATTAAAAAATGTAAGGAAGTTTAAGGAAACTAAACAGAAACCATAAAAGCACACTCCTTTTTAATTATTATGAGAGAGGAAGTTAAGATGTATAATAAAAGGCTGCCTGCAGGTACTTTAGCATGAAATGATCATATGCTGAGCCAAAATTATATGGCCCCAAAGGAATAAATAGCATTTGATGCATAGCCAGGTTTGCCAGTTACCTGAAATGTTTTCCATCTCAAGCATCCTAATTACATAATGCTCTGGGACTTCAATGGAGCCCACAAGACCAGGGTTAATAACATCATGTCAAAAAAAGAAAAAAGCTTTCAACAACTGCTTAAAAACAATGGATACAGATTAAAGTGCTTCTTGGTAGGTATACTATGTACAAAAAAATAGAAAAAGTGTATTAGCATCTTACTGACACTCTATCTCTAAGCACTAAGATGCTGAGTATCAAAAACAAGGAGTGAATGCAAATAAATGCAGGTTCATAGTCTCTTTTCTAAAATTCTTGTGGTCAAACATGTTTTAGGATTCACAATTTGGATTGATTTGATACAGTGTTACATTATATATTTTATAACAAGTTTCCGAGCCCTTGTCTGGCACCCTATGAAAGTAGTATTCATTGCTAAAGTATAAAATACATATTTCACAGAAATAAAAAACAAACATGACACAGACAGGGTGTAAGGAAAAGAAAACATTTTTCACTTCCCTTTTTTCTAAAGAAAACCCTTAATATAACTTTAACACAAATATGCTGTACTCTAATATACTGCCAAGTATGTGACTGAAAGTTGGGGGGGGGGGGAGTTTTAAAATAACAGATAGCAAGTAATTTCAAAATATTCAGATGTCTGCTACTTTTATAAAGTACACTATATCAAAAAGCATCATGTGACAAGTTTCCATTTAAAATGTTATGGTTAATATTTTAATAAATTCTATTTTAAAAATTAAAAATTAAAAATACTGCAGTTTTTATATAAAGGGCATGATGGCACAGTCCGACCTCCTCTGATTTGACATGGGGGAAGGCAAGTCAAACTTAACATAAACCCAAAGCTAAATTCTAGGGGGCAGAGTTCAGATATGCTTCCACCTTCCAATGTTCTTCACCAATTCTGACACCAATCACCCCTCCCAGAGCATTCCATGATGGGTTCAAATTGCAATGGCCATATAGAACTCACAGACAACCTTAGTAGGTAGAAGCTTTAGTAGGAAAATTCAGATTACAATTCAAGATCAGAAATGCTCAGGATACACTTCGTTTAATCAGGAGGGGCCTCTTCTCGGCCATGTCTGTAAATACACCTCTCTCTGGTCCTTGGGCTTTCAGCCCCTTGGCTTTTGCCCAACTTATAGACAAATGTTACACTTCAGCACTATCAATAAAATGCCCCAAAGGGCACACCATAAGCCTCAGCCTAAAAGAGCCAAACATAGGCAAGCCTAGTTCCTCCAATTAAGTGCCTGGAAACCCTCAACTCTGCAAGCAAGCTTCCTGCCTGCCTGACAGAGAATGTATTCACTCCGTGGGTCAGAACACCCCCCACTTCATCTCATGCTCTGGCTCTTGGATCTGCTGCTGCCACTCACTGGGACCACCGCTGTCTCCTGAATTGATACGGTCTGTGCCTAGGAATCTAGGGATCCAGAAGACGCACTCCACTTCTGGGTCTTCTTTCTTTTGGGCACTGAGATCCCCCGTTCCTGCTTTGAGATGGCTCATTTTAAAACTAAACTGACAATCCTCATTAAAATTCCATATACGTTGCTCTCCCTCCTCCACCACTGCCGCCTCCTTTCTTCTGCCGCTCCTGGAGCTGCCTGTGTGCTCCTTTGGGGCGGACCTGCTACCTCTTTTGCGAAGCGGCAGCGGAGGAGACTTCGACACCCGCCATGGCCGACGGGAAGCCCAAGGACGGAGTCAAGACTGAGAACGGCGATCATATGAATTTGAAGGTGGCGGGGCAGGATGGTTCTGGGGTGCAGTTTAAGATTAAGAGGCATACGCCACTTAGCAAACTGACGAAAGCCTATTGTGAACGACAGAGTTTGTCAGTGAGGCAGATCAGATTCCGATTTGACGGACAGCCAAGCAATGAAACAGACACATCTGCACAGTTGGACATGGAGGACGAAGATACAATTGATGTGTTCCAGCAGCAGACAGGAGGCGTCTTCTAAGAGGGAGCCTGCTCCTTTCCTCCAGAACTCTCTTCCT